AGCTAAAGATAGGTGAAAGAAAAATATTAATAATATTATTCAATAAACTCTAGTAAGAGCTGAAAAGGAATTTACATGTGAAGTAGAAAAATCCACTTAAAGTCTAAATTACTGTCAACTGCCTTCAAATTACCTTCTTCCTGAAGAATATTAGAAAAACAATGGGGAAAAACTGACTTACCTTTCGAACAATACTGTCTTCCACATTTGATTTTTTATTGCTGCCCTGTTTACCCATTAAAGTAATCTCTAGTTGACAAAAAGGTTTCGGTAAAATATCACATTGTGTAAAGAATTTTCTCCATTCAACAATATATGCTTTTAGCAAAGCTGTATCATCTTGATGGCTCAGTACTCGCTGAAAAAAAGAATTGTACCAATCTGAAATAAATCCAGGTGCTTTGAAGAATAAAAACAACATATTCATACCATAATTTAAAATTTTTAAATTTATTGTACAAACTGTATTATATCCAAAAGAAACTGAAACATATGTTTACAAAAAAACTTATACACGAATGTTCATAGCAGCATTACTCAAAATAAACAAACAGTAGAAACAACCCAAATGTCCATCAACTGATGAGTGGATAAACAATATATGGTATATCCATACAACAAAATATTATTCACACATAAAATGAAAAAAAATACTGATAAATGCTACAACATAGATGAATCTTGAAATCATTATCCAAGTGAAAGAAACCAGTTACAAAAGGCTACACATATTATATGATTCCATTTATAAGAAATATTAAAAACAGACAAATCCATAGAGACAGAAAGCAGATTAGTGGTTTAGTAGGTTGGGAGGAGGGGATTACAGGGAGTGACTGTTAATAGGTACAGAGTTTCTTTTTAGGGTGATAAAAATATTCTGGAATTAGTGACTAATGGTTGTACAATATACTTCACAATGGTTGTGAATATACTAACCCACTGATTCATATGCTTCATGAGGGTGAATTTTATGGTATGTGAATTATATCTCAATTTTGTAAAAAGGGGAAAAGAGTCCATTTCCCCATTCCTGAAGTTTAGGCTGGTCCTGTGACTTGCTTTGACCAAAACAATGTCACAGATCTAATGTTTTGAGATTTCCAAGCCTAGACCTGAAGAGGTTGTACAGATTCCACTTTCACCTCAAAGACTGGTTTCCTCGAGAATGAGAAACCACACAAGGGAAGAGAAAGCCAACACCAAATGCTAGATATGTGCTTAAAGCTCTCTTGGACCACTCAGTCCCTGCAGAGCCAAAAGCTAACTGTTGCTGCATTAATAAGCTTAGGCAAAATCAGCTGAGAACAGCCTAAGTGGCTATGCCACAGAATTATTAACAAATAAAATAGCAGTGTTAATCCAAAAAAAAGAATCCAATTTCCAAAGCATTGTATGTTTGTTATTTTTATTTCTTTTTGTCCTTTAAAAAATGCTATAAAAAACATTTTATATGATACTATAATGGTGGGCACTTGTCAAAACTCATAGAATGTACAACACAAAGAAAAACTATGGACTTTAGCTGGGAAAAAAAAAAAAACATTTTAATGCTAATGCATATTGTCTTTCCCATTCGGGAGATTTGGTCCTTCTTAACAAGATTAGTTCAGTTGAAGATTGTTTAGTAAAATGACTCACAAAACCAAATTTTCTTAAAAGTTTAAAAATCTTTTAAAATTATACACCTATGTCTGGCATTAAGTGTCTGCTTTTAGTGCTGCTAATCCCATCCTCGGGTTCTTGCTGAGTCTACATTTCCAGACTTTATGCAGTCATGCTACAGTGAAACCCTTACATATTACGTTTATTACTGTTGAGTATATTTTTAAATACCTGTTAACAATATCTAAGATGATTCTTTATGAGCCTATTTCCAGAAATTGAAGAATAAAGTTCTATCAATTTGAAATAAACATAATTTATGTTTATCAAAAGCCATAAAAGAGGTCTGGGCACAGTGGCTCATGCCTATAAACCTAGCACTTTGGGAGGCCAATATGGGAGGATCGCTTGAGGCCAGAGGTTCAAGATTCGCCTGAGTACCATAGCAAAGATCTCATCTCTACTAAAAAACAGAAAAATTAGTAGGGCATGGTGGTACACACCTGTATTTACAACTACTCAAGAGGCTGAGGAAAGAGGATTGCTTGAGCCCAAGAGTGTGAGGTTGTTGTGAGCTATGATGAC